ATTGAGGAAGAATAAACTAGGTTTATTTAAGAAAGGGCTTGTATCGCTGAAGTTCCTCGGGAAGAATTTATACCGGAAATTAACAAACGACCAGAGACCTAACAGTATACACTATTTTAGATTAAATTAAATTATATTAATTCACATTATGTAGGGATCCAAAAATATTGTTTAGAACTTTCACTTTAATTAGTTTGTTACTAAGTAGTATCTTTGATTCGTTCAACTATATCTTTCAAATTCAGAAAGTGAGTGAGCATACTCAGAAAACCAATCCCTTTCAAAGACAGCAGTTAATTGATCTGTGATTGGTTGGCTGGAAGCAGTATCATTTTGTGATTGGTTTAGAATAAAACCAATCCCCCCAGTGTTGATGAAATAGTCTTCAGACCAATTAGATGTTCCTGTATAACAAAGAAAATAAAAGGATAAAAGTACAGACACATATAATACATTTATAACTGTACAGTTACTTTAAAGACGACATTTAAATCATTAGTTCCAAAATAGACTTTTAACTCTACATTAAGAATGATTATTTTATAATAATTTGAGATCCAGAGATGTTGTTAGCTGAATGTTCAACTTTGGTTATCCATTTCGAATTAGAAGCTCATCCTTTTTCTTAATGTCTGTTCATCTGTCCCTGAGTTTATTATTTTGAAGTGTTTGATGTTTGAATTCTTGCTACAGTCTTTGTTTATATGGTTGTAAATTCCAGAGTTGTTGGTAGGGCTGTTTTGCAACCATATAAACAACAACTGTAGCAAGAAGCCAAACATGGTTGTAAATTCCAGAGTTGTTGGAAGGGCTGTTTTGCAACCATATAAACAAAGACTGTAGAAAGAAGCCAAACATTGAACACTTCAAAATAATAGACTCAGCGACAGATGAACAGACATTAAGTAACAGGATGAGCTCCTAATTCGAAATGTATAACCAAATCTGAACAGTCAGCTAACACCACCTCTGGATCTGAAACTATGATAAACTGATCATGCCTGAAATGGACAAAGAATGAAAACTTTGAAATCTTTGTTGAACAATCAAATGTCAATAATTATCTCAAATACATCTAAGAATGACCAAAACATTACCACAAGGATGCTTAAAAATCAATGGGATATTTAATTTTAAAATGTTGGGCCCAGATATTTAGAAATTACAAAACTGAACTTCAAACTTCTAACTCAATAACATAACCCTGACACACAAAGTTAGAAAGAACAGAAATGATCATAAAACCTATTTAATAATACAACACTTTCAAACTCTACAGTTAATTATAATTCACAACTCTGATAAGCTCTAACCAACTATCTGACCTATCAGTCTTCGGTTCTCTTATTTGTTACCATATAAAATGACTACAATTCAACATGGAACAGTTATTGGCTATTGGCAAATCATCTAATGAACTTATTTACACGGAGTGACAGACTGCATCATGTATAACCATAGTTAACATGAAAAAACACTTCATCACATGCAGTGCATTTTGTTGGTTCAATACCACTCCATGGTCTGTTCTGTTGGTTTGACACCACTCCACGGTCTGTTCTGTTGGTTTAATACCACTATGCAATCTGTTCTGTTGGTTTAATACCACTCCACGGTCTGTTCTGTTGGTTTAATACCACTCCACAGTCTATTCTGTTGGTTTAATACCACTCCACAGTCTATTCTGTTGGTTTAATACCACTCCACAGTCCATTTTGTTGGTTTAATACCACCCCACAGTCCATTTTGTTGGTTTAATACCACTATGCAATCTGTTTTGTTGGTTTAGTACCACTCCACAGTCTATTCTGTTGGTTTAATACCACTCTACAGTCCATTTTGTTGGTTTAATACCACTCCATAGTCTGTTTTGTTGGTTTAATACCACTACGTAGTCTGTTTTGTTGGTTTAATACCACTACATAGTCCATTTTGTTGGTTTAAAACCACTCCACAGTCAGTTTTGTTGGTTTAATACCACTCCACAGTCGGTTTTGTTGGTTTAGTACCACTCCACAGTCTGTTTTGTTGGTTTAATACCACTCCACAGTCTGTTTTGTTGGTTCAATACCATTCCACAATCACAACTGATGATTCACAAGACTAGATAAAAAATACAAACTGTTTTGAATTTACACAAACATGTAATACTAAAAAACATTCAAGTCATCAAGTGTGTCAACTTCTGTGCAACTAAAAACAAGAACCTACCAATGTAAGCAGAATTATCTGTGACCATGTACTTGTTGTGATTCACTCGAGCATAGGGAATTTTCGCTTGAGCTTCAGTATATGTTGGCACTATAAAAAGTTTCTGGAAATAAAAAAAGACCTATAGTAACAACGCATTTAAAATATGTTTCTCTGTAAACAATTTCTTTTATATTAGATATATACTAGAAAATAAACTGTTGTGGAACAGAAGCATCTATCTATTTATATACTACTAAAACTCTGAGATTTTTGTTTGTTTGCTTGTCTGTAATTAAATACAGCAAAAACGGTGCACAATAGTGCCATATTTGTAATGAAATGAGAATAGGAACAAAATAAAACAACTTTTGTTAAAATCGAGCCACAGGTTACAGAGTTAGGGCCGTTTTTTGGGTCACTTTTATGAAAATTTCTAGCATGAGTAATTTTACATCACACTACCACTCGCGCTCGTTACGAAACTTCTTCATTCAAATCTATTTCCCTGTCAATGTTCCCATCTGCATATAAGGTGACAAAAACAAGTTCTTGAAGAATTTCTTAATAATGTGCCTTAGTTATGGTAGGTAATTCGATG